ATGCACTGGACATGGTTAACACAGCAGGGGTAAATGCAATGCCCTCCAATCACTGAGGCATTGCCAGTGGGATCCATTTGTCTATGGAATGGCTGGCTCTTCCTCATGCCAAAAAAGCAGAGTAGCAGAGTGGGACAAAAGAACATGCATCTGGATGCAAGCCTAGAAACAAAGGGTAGGGTCATCTTACAGAGCGTACTTCAGAAAGTTTAAAGGGAGAGAGAGAAGAGGTATTACTCTGGAGGGCCTGCTGTGGCCACCCAGCGAGGCAGAGAACATGAACAGTATTTCTGTCCAATAAATCGGTGCTTCTCAATGCTGTGCACACCAGGTGTTAGCTGGAGATTTTGTCAAAAATTCAGATTCTGCTTTGGTAGATCTAGGGGTGGGCCTGAGATACTATACTTCTAACAAGCTCCTGAGTGATGCTAGTGCTCCTGGTCCAGGAATCACACTTTGAGTATCAAAAGTTTAATGCAAAAACCCCTAAAATGTTTTCCTGGCATGTTCTCTCACATCTTTTTAAAGATGTGAACAGGTTACCCAACAGAAATCGAAAGGCTTTGAACAGCCTGGTGTCCAAAGGGATTCTCTGGTCTCTCCACACCGCCCCCCCTTCTTACAGCCTTTGCCTGGACACTCCCCAACACAGGGCAGCCTCCTCCAGGCAGCCTAGGCTGAGGGGGGATTAGGAATTCCAAGAGCTCAATTTTAAACCTCTATCTTGATCCCCAGAACCACATATAGCTCCCACAGCATAGATGAGGGCAGCCATAAAACGTCACCCTCAGGCTTCCTTCACAGAACACTTAAGCCGTACGGAATTTCATTTCACTGTCTATTCTCCCTTCTAGATAGGTGACTTAAGAGCATGTTTGTAGATATTTCTGCCTCTTTGTACCCTCCTTTACCCGAACACACGCAACCAGTAGACACTGAGCACCTGAGGAAATGATTATTTCTTTTTTCTCAAAGTTTTTAACATAGTAGGTACTTGGTAAATGTTTGTTAAACTAATTAACAAAAGTCTTGACTTTTTTTTCACTACTTGAGCTAATCAAATTAGATTTTCTGAAGGCAGTCAAATTTCTTTTGCATGACAGCACAGGTTTTGTGAGCTTCAGTGGTTTTACTGAAGATAACTGGCAAGGAGAAGAAAAGAAACAAAAACTGTGGTTCCTGGAACAAACTGTAATACTAGTTGCTCACAGTGTGAGGTGAACAGGATTGGATTAGCCTGTTTAAAAAATCACAGAATTCAGAACTAGAAGATATCTTAGACATTGCCTAATCCTAAAATGACAAATTCCTGACAGGAAACAAGTCATTTCTCTCCATTCCTGTGCATGTGGCAGACATCACTAATCAATCATGGTACTTTCCCTGATAAATGTAGATGCGACTTCAGAAACCTAAGGGGTTTTTTGGTTATTATTCATTTAAACCTAGGGTTTAAATGTAATACTGGGTTTCTTCACCTGTCCACTGGTGAACACTTATGCTTCTTAGCTTATCCATCTGAACGCCTGCTTTATAGTTCTCTTATAAAACTGTTCATCCAATGTCTCTTTGCCTCCACAAGTCACCACTCTGGCTGAACTGTCTTGAGTTCAAGGTAAGAGAGACGCACACTGTGTTGTGCAGAGCGTCCTGAGGCCCGGACTGCAGCTTGTGAATTCATTCATTACTGGTGAAATATCTATAAGACCAGGCACTGGTTTGACCTGTGTTCACCTCTGTATCATAAGCACCTAAGACATTGTTTGTTCTTGCATAAATGATAGATGGATAGAAGAATAAATGCTTGAATAGTTACCTCTTATAGAATGATGCCTGGTAGTCCTTAGCAAGGACACTCTTCTTCTAACTCTTGCTAAGGCTCAGAAAGATAATTTTCCTTCTTTTTAAAATTAATTTATTTATTTTAATAGGAGACTAATTACATTACAATATTGTAGTGGTTTTTGCCATACACTGACATGAATCAGCCATGGGTGTACATGTGTCCCTCATCCTGAACCCCCTCCCACCTGTCTCCCCATCCCATCCCTCAGGGTTGTCCCAGTGCACTGGCTTTGAGTGCCCTGTTTCATGTATCAAACTTGGACTGATCATCTATTTCATATATGGTAATATACGTGTTTCAGAGCTATTCTCTCAAATCATCCCACCCTCGCCTTTTCCCAGAGTCCAAAAGTCTGTTCTTTATATCTCACATATAGGGTCATCGTTACCATCTTTCTAAATTCCATATATATGAGTTAATATACTGTATTGGTGTTTTTCTTTCTGACTTGCTTCACTCTGTGTAATAGGTTCCAGTTTCATCTACCTCATTAGAATAGATTCAAATGCATTCTTTTTAATAGCTAAGTAATATTCCATTGTGTATATGTACCACAGCTTTCTTACCCATTTATCTGTCGATGGACATCTAGGTTGCTTCCATGTCCCAGCTATCGTAAACAGTGCTGCAATGAACATTGGGGTACATGTGTCTCTTTCAAATCCAGTTTCCTTGGTGTGTATGCCCAGCAGTGGGATTGCTGAGTCATATGGCAGTTCTATTTCCAGTTTTTTAAGGAATCTCCACACTGTTCTTCATAGTGGCTGTACAAGTTTGCATTCCCACCAACAGTGTAAGAGGGTTCCCTTTTCTCTACACCCTCTCCAGCATTTATTGTTTGTAGACTTTTGGATAGCAGCCATTCTCTTTTTTATACTGAGCACACTCTACACACAGCCTCACGTGCAAGGAGTCCCCAAGGGCAGCACTCACTTGGTCAGGAGGCACTTCTAAATGGGTTTTAACCTGTGCCTTCTAGACTCCATTCAGTCAACTAGATTGTTTCTGTGGATGGAACTGGTCTAAGTTCTGTCCTTTACTATTTATGTAAAATGCTATCTTAGATCTTCTGCATAAACATCTTGTTTAATCTCAAGCACAGTTGGACAAGGCAGTTATCATGAGTCTATTTTATAGTGGAGGAAATGGAGGCTCAGTAAGGTCACTTGGTTTGCTCAGGCTGACACAGCTGCAGAGCAGACTGTGAGCTCTGTCCGCCTGACTCACAAGTCTGTGCTTTTGCAAAGGGGGCTATGGCTAACTGGTGTCATAGAGCTCACGGTAAACCGACCAGTTGTACCAAGAAGGCGAGGATTTCTGCATTTGTGATCATCTGCTTACATAAAGAGTAATTCTCCCTACAGCTGGTGAGGAGGGGCCTGGCCTTTGCTGCCCCTGTTTGTCCATTGTTCCTGGATGTCTCTAAGTCCCCCAGAGTGGAAAGGCTAGGCTGGTCAATCCTGCATAAAGGGACAGTGGAGGGAGGGGCTCCTTTCAGGTATTACCCAATTAAGGATTTACTGAGGATAAAAAAAGAGCAAGAGCAGGTTTGTGGCCCATCTTTACCCGCCTGCCCCACCCCAGCCATCAGCGCCAGAGGCAGCAGCTGCAGTCTGGGAATGACCCAGGCACTGCTTGTCACCTCATGGCCCTGGAACACCCCCCAGGCCTCATCCAGCCCTTGGCTGCCTGGACTCTCAGCTAAAGCTTGGGGGCACTGGGAAAGCCCCACTTTGTGTAATTGTTTAATTATCATGTCAATGTAGATTCATTAGTATGGCAGCTGTCATTGCAAATAGGGGAGGAGGGGGCTCCCAGAGCCCCTAGGGTCAGCCTAATTGATGTAGTGAACAGAATACTGTATTTACTCAACAATGGTTTGGGTTTCCCTTCTGACCTGGGAAGGGCATCAGTGCTTACCGGGAATCAATAGCAGCTGAATTTTCATCCACAGAGATGGGACTATATCCATGGGCTTAACCCCTCCAGGCTCTTCCTGAGAATAGATAGGCATCCCTACTGCATTGAGAGGCTGCAGTCTTTTACTTCTCCCAGGTCAGAAGAGATGTGGGTGTGAGAGTGGTAGAATTACATTCCTGTCTTAACAGAAGTGTTGACTATGTTCTATTTAATTTTGATTTCTGCAAAGGTCTGACTAGGTCACATTCACCTCTGCAGCCCTCCCAGCTAGTGCAGGGTGTAGAACAGCCTATTGTTTAAAAAATGTTTGTAGAATAAGTAATAACTTGCTTTTATTGAATACTGACTGTGATAGGCACTGCCCCAAGATTTTACAGTTATATAGCAGGCTCCCCAGGTAGCTCAGCTGTAAAGAATCCACCTGCCAACACAATAGATGCGGGTTTGATCCCTGGGTCGGGAAGATCCCCTGGAAGAGGAAATGGCGACTCACTCCAGTGTTCTTGCCTGGAAAGTTCCATGGACAGAGGTGCCAGGCAAGGCTACAATCCATGGGGTCTCAAAGAGTCAGATATGACTTAGCGACTAAACAACAACAACAACAACAAATCAACTTATAATTCTCACAGTAACCCTCTGAGAAGCACTGTTCTTGCTATTTATTGCTGTGTAACTATTATAACTTCCTGTAGTGGCTGAAAACAACAATTTGTTGCTGTTATATCTCATGACTCCATGAATCAGGTATTTGGACAAGGTACAAAAGGGAAGACTTACCTCTGCTCAATAGTGTCTAGGCCTCAGGGTAACTTGAAGTCTTGGGGGTATTACAGCTAGAGGCTGTCTGGGTCTCTCTCTCTCTCTCTCTCTCTCTCTCTCTCCACCCCCACCCAAATCCACAGCATCTTTAAGTGGCTAGCCTGGGCTTCCTCACAGCATGGCAACCTCTTCTGTGGCAGTTTGGGCTGCATGAGGCCAAAGCAGAACCTGACAATCCTCTTAAAGACTAGGCTTGGGGGATTTCCCTGGTGGTTCGGTGGTTAAGAATCCACCCTACAATGCAGGAGACAGGTTCAATCCCTGGTCAGGGGACTAATATCCCACTAAGTATGCCCACACAGCACCTGAGCCTATACCACAGCTAGAGAGTATGTGCACCATAATGAAAGACCCCTGTATGATGCAACAAAGACCTGTGTGCCACAACTGGGCTGAAGCAGCCAAATAGATAAGTAAATAAAGAGCCTGGAACTGGCATATGACACTTCACTAGACCTTACTGGTCAAAACAGTCACAAGCCAGCTCAGATTTAAGAAGAGGAGAAATAGGTGGCAGCTCTTGAGTAGAAAAGTATCAAAGACTTTGCAGCCATTGCCAGTGCACCATAGAGACTATGATTATTTCCAAATACAAATGAGGAAACCAAGACCTAGGGAGGAGAGACTGGCTGACTCTTCTGTGTCACATAGCCAGTAAGTGGGGGCACTATGGGCTGGAAGCAGGAAGTCCAACTCTGGAACCCTTAATTGCTGCAGACCTGCTCTGTAACCTCAGGTTACTCACTCCCTTCCTCAGGCCTTGGCTCCATATAAAGTAAGGGAGTTGGATCATATTCTTTCAAAAGTCCCCTCTCACTTGAGTCGTTTCTAATTCTTAGCCACAAAGAAAATAATCTCACCCTGCATTTGTGCTTATACTGCTTTGGGGCACAAGTGGTTGAACTGTCCCTTTCTAATTTAAAATTTCTCAAGAATTTTAAAATGTGAGTTAAGTATCCAGAGATTCCTCAGAAAAGTCAAATCAAGGGGAAGCCAATTTGTAAGTACGTGAGTTACAGGGAATGTGGTTCTCAGGTCTTTAGAAGAAATCCACTCACAGACTTAGAGAATGAGCTTATGGATACCAGTGGGGAAGTATATGGAAGGAAGAGATATTTAGGGAGTTGGGATGGACGTGTACACATTGCTATGTTTAAAATGGATAACCAACAAAGTCCTACTGAATAGCACAGGGAATTATGCTCAATGTTAGATGGTAGCCTGGATGAAAGTGAAGTCTGGGGGAGAAAAGACACTTATATATGTATGGCTGAGTTGCTTTGCTATGCACCTAAAACTATCACAACACAGCTAATGGGCTATACTCCAATATAAAATAAAATAGTTTGTTTTTTTTACAGAAAGAAACCCAAGGGTACTGGGGCTGATATTCATCTACTAATTCTTCCCCACAGATGTTTTAGCCCCAGAAAGTGGACTCCTCAACTTCTCTCAGGCTTTGATTTATAACCTTGAAACCATTCCCAAGTTGTGACTAGACCCATGGATTTTTCTAGTCTTCTTAAGAGAAGGAAGCAGACTAAAGAGACTAAACTCCTTTTTGTGAAGAAGAGAAACTGTCCTGACAGCTTTAGGCTGCTAAACATCCCAAGGTGATCAGGCTCCCGAGGAATGAGGTTTCAAAGGCTGGTCATTGGGGTCGGGCATGGGAGGGGTATCATGCAACGGGTCTAAATCAAGAACTGGAACACAGTCTTGGCTTACACAGGACAAACTGCCTGTGTGACCTTGGGCAAGACATTTAACCCCTCTGTGGCATGGTTTCTTCATCAGTAAAGAAAGGGATTTGATCAAGCCCAGGAGGACAGATAGGCTTCATCATTGGTGCCAACTTCACTCACTGAAAGTGGCTCCCAAAAGGGCCTATGCGGAGGGTCCTTGCACTGTGCCGAGAGTGTCCTGTGACAGGAAGCTCTTTGGAGTTGGAGTGAGCCAGAGATGCCTGAGTTCAAATCTCAGATCCTCCATTTAGTAAATGTGTGATCCTTGAAAACTGTCCTAAATTTTTTGAAATCACTTTTTATCTGCTCAACAGGAGTCATGAGGCTTTTCTTCATAGAATTGATGGTGACCTAATTGAGACATCCTGGAAAAACCTTTCAACCAGAGCCAGGCACAACATATGTGTTCAATAAAGGCTCATTGAATCTGAAATCTGAGCATCACTAGGATATACAGTGACAGGCAGGGAGGCCTTTAGTTACTTAAATGTCCTGTCAAATGTAGCAAAACCCATATCTTAATAGTCTGTGCCATTTTAGATCAACCTTAAGACTGCGTTTAATGCTGTAAGCATGATGGAATATGGAAAACATAAAGCAAATGTACTTTTCTCTTCTAAAACATGGACATGATACTTATCTACACAATGGGTAAAAATGAGCATTAAATGAGAAAAAAATTGTAAAATTCTGGTGCCCAGCAGGTGCTTGACAACAGTGGGCATGGAGAGGTTAGAACTCTTAACCTCACCCAACATTGGAAGACAGAGAATGGAGAAAAACATGGATAAATCAACATAGAAAAAGCCTCAGCTTCATCCTCTACTCCTTGCCAAAACTGCCCCTGTGTGTAAGTTCCGTGAATGTAAATGCAAGGTATGCTGACTCTGAATTTTGGAATGTTGGGTAGGGAAGACAGGGGTCTGATGATGTTATGGTCTAATACTTGGGTAGCTCAGTCGGTAAAGAATCTGCCTGCAGTGCAGACCAGGGTTCGATTCCTGGGTCAGGAAGATCCCCTGGAGAAGGAAATGGCAAACCACTCCAGTATTCTTGCCTGGAAAATCCCATGGACAGAGGAGCCTGGCGGGCTATAATCCATGAGGTCATAAGAGTTGGACATGACTTAGCAACTTTCAAATTTAGTCCATTAGGTATGTAAGTGAATGAACATTCTTCATGGTGCCATCCCCATGGCACAGAGAGGTTTGGAAATGCCGAAGGTCACATAGCTATGACATTTTAGGAAAATGACCCAGGGTAGGAAGACCCACTATCCTAAGCCAGGGAGGCCTCCAGAGTGGTGAAGCCAGGCATTCCTATGTTCAGCCCCAGTGCTTATTATTCTCATGACCTTGGGCAAGAGATTGACTAATCTTTTCAAGACTCAGTCTCCTCATCAATGAAGTGGGGATACTAATCATAGTAATGCCTGTCTTGTTCTCCTGCCTTGAAGACTGGGTTAAATGATATACATAATAAGATGAGCACTGTGCCTGGCACATAATAGATGGTTGATTATTTTCAGATTACTCCTCTTTAAAAGGAGTATTGTATCCTCTTTAAATGTAGTATTTCACTGCATTTACAGCCACATTGAAATCATTACAATGGATCTGGGAACTAAGAAGGCCTCAGACATTTAAATCAGTGTCTGTTAATTACATGGATGCAGTTTCATGTGTGTGTCTGTGTGTGTACACTTCTTTTTCATGAAAGTATGACTTTTCAGTCACAGAAAAGCCTCCCTATGCTTGGGGTTTAGTGTTGAGGTGAAAATCTAAAATGATCCAGGGAGTTTAAGAGAAATGATTTATACAAGCATATAAATAATGCCCATAATTTAAAGCTCAGTGTTTCTTTTACTCATATTCTGTGTGTTCATCAGTTTGTCTCCCCAAACTGCCTTTTTGTTTCATGAGACAGCACTCCTTACAAATTAGGTGTAACTTTGGATGATTTGCTGACCCTCACTGAGCAGGGTCTCCCTTTCTCCCTTACCTATAACATTCACTTTGCATCGTAACCAAATGCAGCCTCCCCATTGCTCCCCCACCTTCCATTGGGAATGATCTCTTTATCAATAACCCGACCCCTGGAAGCCCAGTGGGTGACTCTTTAGTGCCCCCGACACCAATGCAGATGGGGGTTTTGGATCCCCAGTGTAATCCCAGCCTGAAATGTTACCAGGAGCCCTACGGCTCTTCAATTACCTTCCTTGGCCTGTCAAGACCACAGCATCTCAAATTCAGTTAGCTGGTCTTTGGGTCTCAGCCAAGGCCCAGCCTCTGCTCCTAATGACAGCCAGCTGAGGGGACACTGAGAGGGGCTAAATTCAATTTGCAGCCCTTCTAATGAGATTAAGGGAGCAGGGTTTTTTATTTTCTCCAAAGTTTGCCATGGGCAGGATGAATGATGGCCCAGGGATGAGCTGTCAACGTCAACAAAGGCTCCAAGCTGGGAGAAGGGGGATGGGAGACAAGGATGGGAGAGAGAGAGGGAGAGATTTTCCAGACAGAGCCAAGGAGCTCTAAGTGAATCGCCCAGCAGGTGACAATGTCTGGCTGGCAGAGTGTCACTCTGTGGACAGGATGCCGTCAAGAATGAATCTGGAGGAAAGGTAAATGTCAATCATAAGCAATATTCCCAAGTAGAATTTCTTTTTTCCCCTTGCTTATGAATTCTTTCTCACCCTTTTTGACTTTCCAAACATCATGAAGAAAACTGTATTTCTTAAAATGAGTCAACTCGGAAGTATTTACTCAAATAAAAGAGCAAGGCTCCCACTGATCTTCTTCCCGGAACAGTCCAGCCTTGGCTGAACGGACCTGTGCGTCTTTTAGTCCGAGAGCTCCCACTGAGCTAGTCAGTTAGGACCTCAGATGCCCACAGTGTGTTGTGGCTGGTGGTGAAGCACCAGAAGGTACTTTATCCGATGCAGAGTAATGTCGAGGTAAGCAAAACCCATCTAATGTCTGTTTTAGTTAGCACCCACCTCTGAGTGTCAACAGCTTAGTTGCGGGGGTACCCTGAAGAAATGGAGCAAGACATTTTTCTGGGTCCAAATGAGACATAGAGGGAAAGCCCTTTAGGAAATCTGAAGAGGAAGAGACTTTTGTGGTTAGGAGAGAGCAAGGAAACTTTGTTTTTAGGATGTAGCCTTGAGCTGTACCCTGAAAGAGGATGAGATCTAGAGAGGCTGAGAGAAGGAACTCAGATGAGTCCCTTGTGGCTGAAGGTTTCAGGCTTCTACTTGCAGGCCCCGCTGTGTCCTGTTTCAGGGTCTCTCCTGCTGGAAACTGTAATAGTCCTGCCACCAAGTCTGGATCTCAGGCTCTAAGCACCTTCTTAGATCTCTACAGAGATGGTTCATACATACAGCAGAGCTCCCACCCAGCTTCCTGTCCCACACTCAAACCCTCCATCCATGCAGCAGTCCTGCACCAGATCCCAGCTGTGACCCTGATGCCTAGAGTTGCCTGGATTTGGTTTCACGTACTTTGTCTCTTGTTCACTTGCTACTTCCTGAAGTCCTGTTCCTAGTAGACTGATAACTGGGGACCATGACATAACTGCCCTTTTCTTACTTCCCTTGAATATGGAAACCAACCCTGACTAAGGCCTTTAGTTAGCTTCAGAACGTGTCAACACAAGTTACAGCAGCTTATGGGCACACAGCAGACACTTGCTACATGTGCTACATTTCTATTGACTGAAATGGGCTCATGAGGAAGGTGAACCTTGATTAGATTTGAGGGCGGGAGCAGTTAGACACGAGGCACCCATGTGGGAGGAAAGCTCAGAGCCAGGATCATGTTGTTGGTATTCAGAGAACAATAGTCCCTCTCCTCTAACACATTCCTGGTGGCCGAGGTTTGACCTCCACTGCCCACTATTTAGGCCCGCAACTGGCTGTTCAGGGCTGGTACCACAGCCTGAACTTGGCCATCAGCCAGATGGACTAGAGGAATCCTACAAATTTCAGAACCCAGAACATCTCAGGGCCATGTTGTAGCCAGAACTGTCAGAGAATATCTCCCACACAAAACAACCACAAAATTCTTTCAGGGCTTGTGAAGGATTATGTTGGGTTGTTGGGTTTGAGATAAATCGAGTTACTAATCCTACCCAGTATCTTACAAGTTCAATGCTGCTGAGAAATACAACTCTAAGATGCTGGAATTCTGAGCCTGAAAGAGCTCGGTTTTTTAACTAATCATGGCTGCTCTGTTAATGTGTCTTCTTTTATGTTATGAATTGTTTCTGTACCTTTTCTTCTGGCTTCACTGACTTGTATTAAAATTCCTTGTGAAAAAATCATTCTGTCCTGGGGCAAGGGGGAGGCAGGGTTTGTGCCATGAATTGATAGAGACATCAGAAATTCAAGACAAAGGCCTGAGACTTCCCAACTTGCCTTCACTCTGTCTTGCAGTGGGAAGAGCAGGGTATTTAGGTCTTAATAAGGAAGCCCTGTCCTGAAAGGTCCTGTCCGGAGGCACTTTGCATGGGCCCGTGAGCCAGCCCCTGTCCCTTTCCCACCTGAGGCTACGACTGAGATGGAGAAATAATCTGGGAGAAATAGAAAAGATAAAGATGGCAAGGGTTAAGAATGTCCTGTTATCAATGTGGATGCTTATTAATAAGAAGGAGTCACTAAAGGTCAGTTCCCCAGGAACCAGAACTCTCTGCTGTAAAACACATTTTCAATCACAATGGATTTTCATGCCTATTTTCTTTTTTCTCTTTTTTAAAAAATTTATTTATTTGGCTACACTGGGTCTTAGTTGCGTCACGCAGGATCTTTCATTGCTGTGAGCAGGCTCTCTAGCTGTGGCATGAGGACTTAGTTGCTCTGCAGCGTGTGGGAGCTTAGTTTCCCAACCAAGGATTGAACCCACATCCCCTGCATTGCAGAGAGGATTCTTAACCACTGGACCACCAGGAAAGTCCCCATATGCCTATTTTCTTATGTGAGCCTTACAGCAAGTCTGTGAAGAAGGTATCTTGATCTCCATTTTAAGGTGAGAAATCAGAGGCACCCCAGACTTAAATGAATTGCTTAAGTTCATGCAAGGATAAGCTTAGGATGCAAGGCCAGGTCTGCCTGATGCCAGATATACTGCTATGGCTATTACCCTACACTTCATCTTAATACACAACCTGTGTGGACAACCCTCCACATCTCCTCTGACTGCACTCCTCTGTGGAGACCCAGACTCTTCTGTCACCCTCTGATGGTGGAACTGGTGGCCCATTAGGAGAGAATCATCACAGGACTGCTCCCTTGTGCCAGCTTTGTGTTGAAGAAAGAACCTCACTGCTTTTTAGGAGCGCACTGAATAAGTGGGCCCTGGAGCCAAGAGCCCTGGGCTGGGCTGCTCAGCCCTGCTGTTGCCAGCTCCTGCTGTGATCTTGAGCAAGGGACTTCCTCTCTCTGCATGCCCTCTTGACTCCTTGCCTGTTCTGATGCTCCCAGCTTCACATTCTCCAATTGCCCAAACATCCTGAATGGTCACTTAAATCCATTTCTTACTTCCTACAAATTACATTTTGCTTCTGTTCTTCTTATTCTCTTCCTGGCCTTCCCTATTTGCTGTGCCGAGTTCAGTTAACACTCTGGTGTGGTCATGAACATTTCCAATGCAAAAACTCAGCCACCCCCAGTGCATGCTGGGTTTGTTAAAAAATACCCGTTGGGCCCGCCCCTTCCAGGGCAATGCCAGACCAGGGGATGGAGCCCTGGGTCTCTTCACTTTGCGCCACATTATCACAGAAAGGTGGATTAGAAGTTATCTCCGCTCTGCTTTCTCTCAGAGCTCCTTGGCAACACAGCCACCTCGATATAAATACACACTAGAAATGTGCACAGCCTCATACTCACAGTGGAAGCCTTCGGAGGCATGGGGGTG